GCTAGGCCCATCCTCTTTCCTGAGAACATATCACTAATACTGGAGGCTTAGGCCTCCCTCTCCAACCTTGGCTAGGCCCATTCTCTTCCCTGAGAATGTATCACTAATAAACCCTGCTTGCATATTAATCAGCTTGCTGACCTTTGATTCTTCACTGCATCAGCATGAAGAACCAAGACCCTGTAACACTTTAATGAAGACATCTGGGCCTGAAGATTTTATTTTTAGATGTTTTAAATTTTGACTTCAATTATAGGGCTATTCAGCATGTCTATTTCATGTTGTAAAAGTTGTTGGAATTTGTGCTTTTTGAGGAAGTGTTTATGTATGTAGACTTTTGTTTATTCTCTTTTTATTCTTTTGATGTCTGCAGGATCTGCAGTAGTGTCTTTTTTTTTCATTCCTGATATTGGTTATTTACGTCTCCTGTAGAGATGTATCAATTTTATTTACCTTTCCATAGAATAAGCTTTTTGTTTTGTTTTTCTTTTTCAATTTCATTGTTTTGTTGTGGATGGAAAAGGGGCCACATGTTAAACCTGAAAAGCTCAGGAGACTGAAAATAATCACAGAGGATGGTGTGAACATAAAAATTCCTAACTAAGATGGGCCATGGTGGGAAGTCACATCTTTGGCCTGTAGCTTCCTTGACAAAGATCAGTCTACCTTAAGTGAGCCTGTCATCATTTTGCATCTAAGATAACATACCCTTGGAATGTGAGAATAACCCCTTTCCCGACCCCAGACCTCTGCCCCCCAGGGGTCACAACCCACCACACCAGAGCAGGAAACTACAAAAAAATCCCTCATTGTTATCTTGTTCCCCAAATATTATCTCTATGCGCTGTAAAATGCTATTAGCTATGCTGTACCCACCAATGTAAAAGTGTGTGTCTCTCCATTTTACTTTTTATCTAATCCCAAAGATCCCCCCCCTTGCTTTCTCCCACCCTCTTAATCTACAACCAATGGATTTCATGTAACCCTCCTCCTTTGATTCTAATGTATAGAATAAGTTGCAAAACGGCCATTTTCCACAGCATTTTCTCAAGCCATTGAGATTTTGCTTCCTGGCAATTGTTGTCAGTTTGGCTCAAATAAACTCATAAGTTTTTTCTTAGGCTGGATGTTTTTCATTGACACTGTTCCTACTTATAAGTTCTTTCTCCTTCTTGCTTTGAGTTTATTTTGCTCTTCCTTTTCTATTTTACTGAGGTGGAAGTTTACATTATTGATTTGAGAATTTTCTTCCTTTCTAATGTAAACCTTTAGCTGTATTAAATTTTCTTTCACCACTGCTTTAGCAGCAGTCTATACGTTTTGATATGTTGCTTTCATTTTCATTCATTTGAATGTACTGATATTTTAAAATTTCCTTGAGACTTCCTCTGACCCCATGGGTTATTTAGAATCCTGTTGCTTAGTTTCCTAGTGTTAATTTCCTGTTGTCTTTCTATTACTGATTTGTAGTTTAATTCTATTGTGTTCAGAGAACATACTCTGATTTTAGTTCTATTAAGATTGATGCAATTTGTTTTAAGTCCCAGGTTATCTTGGTAAATGCTCCATAGGAACTTGAATAGAATATACATTCTTCTGTTTTGGGATAGAGTGTTTTATAATTGCTGGTTAGATCTTGTTTGTTGATGGTGTTTTGAATCCACAGAATCCACAGGAAAAGACCTGAATGTGTCTTGAGGTGGTTGTTTCCTGCCTTAGTCTCAGAGTACATACCTCTGCTTCACCTTTTCTACTGACAGCTCTCAGCTGCAGTCTCCACATCACCATGGCCCCCCTTAGCCTCAGTGACTACATTGGCGCAGCCATATTGGCATCAAGTCCAAGCGGTTTAGAGGCAGGGCGGGATTTAGCAGAGCGCCATGTTGAGTACTGGCAATTCTCACCCAAGAAGCCACTGCTGAGCATGCGCGCACCAAGGCGGCGCTGAAAGGAATCCTCAGGGACTGGGAGTGATAAAGAGGGATTAAGTACCTTTTTAATTTTTGTGACTATAGTCACCACCAAAGGTAAATGACCACTACCTTGTGAGGTCATTGGTGAGCGGCAGGTGAGTGCAGGGATGGGAGCATCCGGGGCTGAGTGAAAAAGCATTTTTGTCCGTGATGAGCAATCGGGTCAGTGATGGGGGCGGTCAGTTGATATAATAATGGAGGTCGGGATGGTCTGCATGCTGGATCGGGGGCGGAATGCTGAGGTTTGTGCGATCTTTGATGGTGGATATGTGGGCGGAAGGATAGAGTCTGTGGGGGAGGATAACTGTGGGGCTGAGTAATGAGGGATCCCTGGGGTGAGTGATGCTACATTTTAATTGATTTCCTATGTGTTTTATGCTTACCGTCTTTGTTCTATTTTTGACTTATCATGGTATATTTCCCTAGAGATTTAAAAAAATATATTGCGATGGAGTTGCATATAAGTTTCCATTTACCTTATTTAGCTCCCTTCCTATCTAGATTGTTAGCTACGTTGACATTCATAATATAATATTTATATATAATTTTTCTTTCTCTATTTTATTATCAGGCATTTCAGAGTTTATTCAATTTTGAAGTAATGGTTGCATTTATACTCCCTACTCTTATATTAATTTTATATTTTTATTTTTACATACTTTTTTCTTTTTGATTTAAATTGTCACTCATTCCCTTATTTCCCTATTTTTATACTGGATACGTTTAGAGGTATAAAGGTTTTTCTAAACATAACTTTACATATGAAATGGGTAATTTCAATTTAATGTTCCACTTTGATTCTGATTTAAGAGTGTTTATTTCCAAATTAAGATATGTTTAATTTTATTGTATTTTCATAAAATGTAGCCTGCAAAGTCTCAACTTTTAAAAATGTATCAATATTTTCTTTGAAGCTAGGTTACACAATGAACTTGTTCAGTGGATATATGAGAAAGAATGTATTTTCTGTTTGTATGATGCAAAGTTCTCTTTATATTAAGTATAACCTGTTTGTATTTTTTAAATCTTATTTTGTTTATTTATTTTTGGTCTATTTGAATCATTGTATTTTGAAAGAGATATAATCTGTCACTAATAGTTCACTTTGTATTAATGTGTGCTTTTTTGCTAGTTTTATTTGTGTGTGTTTGGGGAGAGGCATACATATATCTAATGGTTAGTGCATTTTGTACTATCTTAACATTTATTGAATACTATTATTATAGGCTTCCTCTTTATAACAAAAACCCCTTTCACCTGAATGTCACTTTGATATTTACACTGCCATCCCTGTTTTGACTTTTATTGCATTTGGATGCTGTATCTTTGCCCAGGGCTGTGTTTTATACCAGGGGTGCCAAAAAAAATGTATGCACAAGACTTGTATTCATCTTTTGTTATTGGTATTTATTGAGTATTACAATATTAATACAGTTTTTTTCCTTTCTTAAGATGTGTATGTGTATTTTTTGGCATCCTCTGCATTTGTATTTGTTTTGTTTACATTAACTACTTGTAAATAATAGATTTTTTCCTTTCAAATCCATTCTATGGTTTTTACTTGTCAATAGGATAATTTTCTCTCTTTAGTGTACTAATGATTTACTTGATTTTATACCACCCATTTTAATGTTTACTGTTTATTTAACTCATTATTTTCTGCTTTTTCTTTCTTACATTGGATTTGTGAAATTTCTGCTCATTGTTTCCATTCTACACCCTGTATAACTTCTGTTTCCCTGAGCTAATTAGAAATGTTTTGTCATAGGCTATTATTAATTTTTCCTTTGATGGTCTCCTTATTACATCATTATCATTGTCCTTTTTCATAATTATTATTTTTCTATTTGAAATTTCTCATCTGATTCATTTCACAATTACTTGGAATATCTTTTTGGGTGTTTTCTTTATATAAAGACAGAGATACTCTGCAAGTGCTTTTATTTCTGAAAAAGATCTTTCTCTCGCCTTTACAGAGAAGTGGTCTTTTAGATGCTATTTCTGATATTAGCTTTCATTACTGCAGATGAGGCATCTTGATTTTCTTAATTCTTTCTGTGTAAATTATTCCTTCTTTCACGTGTGTCTTATATTTAGAAATGTTTTCAATTTTTTAATTTATATTTAAAATTCAAGACTATTCCTAGATTTTGTTCTTTGATTGGGGTTCCTCCTGTGTGTCTAAGTTTGTGGGGAAGACTAATGGTACAGCCTAGTGATATGATTGGTGAGATGTGTGATTGGATGCTTTCTCAAGGTTCATTGCAGGCATAGTTGTTTCTTGGATTGGGACTCTTGGGATCACTGATGGAGATGCATGATAGGTATTGATAAAAGTGCAGAGGCCAGTAATGGGGGCATGTGATATATTGATATAATAAGAAATATATATTTAGGTCTTCATGGTTTCCAACATATAGCTCCTAAAACCTTTGTAATTTCCTAAGTGATAAGATTTATAGGGGCATCTTTTGTTCCTAGTTCCTGAAATAGCTCCAGAGGGATTAAGGTGAAATGGGTGTTTTTCATGTTATGAGTTTTATATATTAATGAAGTAATTTTTGGAAAGCCCCTAGATAACTACTGGATGGGGCCTGGTTGCCAGGCGAGCTAGTGTGACTAGAGGGTAGGATTTTGAAACGCGTCCCCTGACTGGATGTTGAATTAATCACTAATGCTAATTATTTAATCAGTCATCATAATGAAGCTTTTATAAAATCCAAAAAGATGGAGTTTGAAGAGCTTTTGGATTGAACATGTGGAGAGGCTGGAGGAGTGATGCACCCCTTCCCACATACCATGCATCTCTTTTACCTGGCTATTCCTGAGTTACGTTATGTTATAATAAACTGGTAATTTAGTAAGTTAAATGTTTTCCTGAGTTCTGTGAGCTACTCTTAACAAATTAATGGAATCCATGGAGGGGGTCCTGGGAACCTCTGATTTATAGCTATAAATCAGAAGCACAAGTAACAATCTGGACTTGCTACTAACATCTGAAGTTGGGGTGGAGGCAGTCTTTTGGGACTGAGTCCTTAACCTGTGTGATCCAATGCTAACTCCAAGTAGGTGGTGTCAGAATTGAGTTAAATTGTAGGGCACCCAGCTGGTGTTGCAGAATTTCATGGTGTGGATGCCCCTTCACACACACACACACACACACACACACACACACACACACACACACACACACTTGGTGGCCAGAAGTATTGAGTGTAGAGGAAAACATACAAAGCAGTTTTTGCTTTACAGGGCATAGGAGTGGTGGAAGTTAGGACCGTAAGGTGTAGGAAGCTCTGATTTGAGGCCAGTGGGCAGCAAGATGTGGGAACCAGTGATTCTGAGACCTGTGTAAGTGTTCCTGGGGTAAGGTCTTTGGGCAGTGATTGGCAGTTGGAACAGAGTGAGTAATGGGAGTGAGGAATTAGATGCCAGGGTTGGTGATGATTTGAGCCTCTGAAGTCAGATAATGTTTGATAATTGCATTCTATGTGGATTATTGATTTTGTAACATTAGCAATAACTAATATTTAATGAGTACTTACGTGTCATGCATGCATGGGCTAAGCTTTTTTCAAGTATTTTAAAATAGGTTTGTTTATATAAAAAGTGTAAAGATGAAACTGAGACTGAAGTGAGTTCTCCAGATTGTCACAGCTAGAAGGTGGAAGAGCTGGGATTCAAATGTACATTGATTTGTCTCCACACCTTATATCTTTCCCCTGTGCCACTGTGTTCCACGCTATTTGATGTGCTCTTAGGAGGAGGCTAATTAGCTGTCATGGTGTGGCATTCTCTGCAGGATCCCTTTGTGTTTCCACAGAGCTATAAGGTCAGACCACTTAGTTGAGCCTTCAGGATCTCCAGCCCACCTTGGCCCAATATCTGGCAGTCTTTAGATGTTCACCAGGCTTAGGGCTCCTGGGAAAATTGGAGTTGCTAAGATACACAGAAGTGAAGCCCATTGTGGACATGCTAACCAAGGTGTCCCATAGGCCCTAGATCCAGCTCATATCCTGGCTTCGCAGGAATGTCACAGCTTGGTTGAAGGCGGAGGGGGAGGGAAGCTCAGAAACAGAAATTTTCTCAGGGCAGCACTTGCTGAAACAAAGCATCCTTTTTCGTTGTGAACAGTGCATGGTTGATGTGTGCCCTGAGGCTGTTCTCTGTACTGGGAGAAGTTTTATTTTTGTTTTTAGATTTTATTACAGAAAATTTCAAACATACATAAAAGTAGAAAATATAGTATAATAAACTTCTATATGCCTTCATCATGCAATCTCAATAACCATTAACTATTTGCCAGTGTTGTTTCACCTATTCCTACCCACTTGTTTTGTTTTATTCAGAATATTTTAAAATACATCTTGTATACCATGTCATTTCAGTTTCACCCACAAATGCTTCAGTATGCAAGTCCAACTGATGTGGACTCTTTTTTTTTTTTTGCATAACCACCATTCTGTTATGCAACTAACAAAAGTTACAGTAATTCCTTGATATCATCTGATAATCTATAGTCAAATTTCTCTGATTATCTACAAAAAGTAACTTAAAACTTTTTACTATGAAAATTGCAAAAATGCAAAAGGCAAGCAAGTAGTATAATAAGCCTCCGTATACCCATCAATCAACTTCCACAATTATTAGCTCATGCTACCCAATTGTTTGTCATCTATACCTTCCATTCCCCCACATTTTTGCTCTTATGAGTTATTTCAAGCACATCTCAAACACTGCTCTTTTATCCATGACTATTTCAATATATAAATGTAAAAATAAGTACTTTTAATAAAAATAGTAGCCACAGTGATATTATCATACTGAAAAGGGTTCCTGAAACCAATTCCAATGTGTATGTATAAGGTGGGGTGGGGACATCCCATGCACACAATACCAAGCAATTCTCAGACACCTGCAGGGTATCCAGGAATTCAACTCAATTTTGACACTGTCCAGCTGGAGCTGGCATTAGATTCCACAGGTTAAGGGTTTAGTCTTGTAGACTGCTCCCTCCCCTTGGATTTCAGATGCCAGTCGCAAGCCCAGGTTGTTACTGTGCTTCTGATTGAGCAGTGGCTACAAATTGGAGGTT